GTCCTGTCTCCTTACTTCCCTGCCAACAGCCTAGTGGTATCCTTGCCCACAATCAGGGCTGGTTAGAGAGGGGTAGCTCGTCTTTCTTCTGTTTGAATTCTAGAGTGGGAAGGGCCCGAGGAGTGTAGCCTCATGGGCTGCCCCTGGGCTTTTCCTATGACTTTGGAATTCTTAGCAAGTCTCACTTTAGGGAACCAGAAGGTGTGTCTGACTTTAAGAATCTCAGAAGTAGAAGGCACCTTGTATAGTTTTTTTTGTCCATCTGTGCTCCTCCCTGCCTTGACGATGCCACCCCAACCCAATAACATTCTGTATTGGAAGGACCCTAGGAAAGGATACCATCTGTGCTCTGGTTACCCATTTCCACATCTACAAAATCATCATTGCTAGAAAGTTCCATCCTTACACTCCACTCCACAGCCATTTTCTGCAGAAGGATGTTAATTTGAACTTGAGGAGGTTACAGGGAAGGAGGGAATGGCCTAGAGGGCCAAGTGGACTAGAACAAGTGATATCTGGACACATGTGAATTCCTCCTAGGTGGGCAGTCAGGGATTTTGGGAGTGGCTTTAATGGGAGCAGGTGCCACATGACAGTGAGGACGGGGAAGGGAGCATGAGGTATTGTCCACTCTTTCTTTAAGCTTAGCTGAGAATGGAAGAAAGAGCTGAGAGACCCTAAAGCCGAGGGAGTTGGGGCTATAGGTTTGTTTTTAAATTGGGAGAGGCATTGCTTATATGCCAAAGTGGGAAACCCAGGTGGGAAGAGGGCAACTCCTGAAACCCAAGGAACATTATCCTGTAGAAGATCGAGTGGGTGGGGCATGAGAGGAAGCCTGCTGTACTCAGCAGGAGACAGATGGAATGAAGGGGGGATGAACGCAAGTGTGGATTAGGATAGTGTGGGAAGAGGCAGGAAGTTGGGAGATTATTGTCCATGCCCTTAGTTTCCTATTTCACAATGGTGCCCAGCCAAGGCAAGTGTCAACACTCTGCTCGAGGCTGAAAATACAGTTGCCTTCTGAATTAAAAAATCTTTTCTTTTTTTCTTTTTCTTTTCTTTCTTTCTTTCTTTCTTTTTTTTTCTTTTCTTTTTTTTTGTTTTTTTTTGTTTTTTTTTTGTTTTTGTTTTTTTCAAGACAGGATTTTTCTGTGGCTTTGGAGGCTGTCCTGGAACTAGCTTTTTAAGACCAGGCTGGTCTCGAACTCACAGAGATCCGCCTGCCTCTGCCTCTGCCTCCTGAGTGCTGGGATTAAAGGCATGCACCACTACCGCCTGGCCAGGATTAAAAATCTTAAAATGGGCTGGGGTATGGCTCTGTAATATAGCGTGATGGCCCAGTCAATCCTATATTGAACATTTTTCTAGTATCATATATCTGTAAAAACACCAGGGTACTGTTTTCTGGGACCATTTTCCCTCTTCTGGATAATGAAACCTGGCTATCTTGTCCTGGTCCAGGAGTCATGTCTGTGTCCCCCTGCCCCCACCCGCCACCCGCCACCCCCACCATGGGTCAAAAGTAATCTGTAGATCCTGTGGGGGGTGGGAGTCAGCAGGCAAAGGGAAGACAGCTGTTTTGGGCTAGTCCATCTTTGGGGACCTGCTAAGTACACTAGAAATCACACATCCACATAGCCAGCTATGGCTCTGGCCAGAGTCCTGCCAAATTCTAGAGTGTCCTAAAAGGCACCTCAGCTGAAGGGGGACCTGTCTCCAATTTTGAGTTGAGTCGAACTTGCCACTCAGGGGCTGGGGGTGTGCCTCAGTGGTAGAGCACCTGCATAGCATGTACAAAGCCCTACTCTCCATCCCTGTTTTCTCTCTCTCTGTCTCTCTGTCTCTCTGTCTCTCTCTCTCTCTCTCTCTGTCTCTCTCTTTCTCTCTGTCTCTCTCTCACACACACACACACACACCTAGACCTACCTAGGTGTAGTGGCACACACCTGTAATTCCAGTGCTTGAGAGGCAGAGACAGGAAAAGCAGGAGTTCAAGGTCATTTTCAGCTATGTAGTTAGCCTGCCTGAGTTACAAAGACAGATTGGGGTGGGGTTTTAAAAAAGACACACAAACACACGAATCTATCTGGACCTTCCTATGGTAGTTTTCACCTCTGTGGTCATGAGGAATAAGTAACATGCTATATGGCTGTGTAACCCCTCGGGTGAAGCTGTCCTATAGAATGAACAATATCTGATATTTTTGTGAAACTGTGAGCCTCCCCATGCTGTTAAAGAAGTGACTGTTTCACACCCCCAGCTACAGACACACAGACGATCTCCTCGGATGTTGTTTTATTTGTGTTTTTATTAAATACCATTACCCCACTGTGGATCAATTAAATCTAACCTGTCGAGAGTATGTGGGCATTGGTAGCTGTGAACAGTCCCTCTGTGTTCTTGAGTTACAGCTCCAGAACCATAGGACAGACCTACCTTGTCATTATGTTCATTAGATCAGTGCCTCCTGACTCTTCTCTTGTTGTGACTTCAGGAGCAGAAGGTACCAATCCCAGAGTGAGTGGTAGGCTCGAGCAGCTGAAGACATCTGACCTGGGCTTCCTAAGGGCTGAGGATCAATATTTTGGCAGATCCATACTCAGGCACCCTGTCTCACCTGTTGTTGAACTTTGAATAATTATAAAGTCTACTAAGTAAGGCTGTGTTGTACATTTATATTTTGCTGGGGTTTAATTGACGTGTCATAAGCAGCATATATTTAAAGTGTACAACATGGTAAGTTTGGTATATGAACACACTGGTGAAATCACCACCACCGGCAAGATAATGAATGGGCTGCCGACATAGCTCAGTGGTAGTGCTTGCCCAGCATGCTCGGGCCATAGTTGTGATCTCTGCAGAAAGGGAGTGGTGCGGAAAAAAGCAAAAAAAGATAATGAGCATATGCATTGCTCCCCAAAGTTCCCTATGGTTTATGGTAATCCTTCCCTTTCCTTCCCCAGATAAGCATCCATCTGTTTTTCCTCACAGTCGCTCAATCTGCATTTTCAGAAATTTCCTGTAAATGCAATGATACATACTCATACTCTTTGTCTGGCAGGTTTTATTCAAAAGAGTTAATTTGAGATTCATCCACGATTTTACATTTGTCAATAATTCATTCATTTTCATTGCTATAATCATACATTAGTAAGTGGATCACCTTTTTATTTGATACAGGGACTTATGTTGTTCATGCTGGCCTTGAACCCTTTTGTTTTTGTGGTTTTTCAAGGCAGAGTTTCTCTGTGTAGCCCTGGAACTTGCTCTGTAGAGAGCCTGGCAAAAACCTACAGCACCCAATATTCCCAGGCTGTCTCCCATCCAAGTACTAGCCAGGCCCGACTCTGCTTAGCTTCCAAGATCAGACGAGATTGGGCGTGTTCAGGGTGGTATGGCTGTAGACCACCACACCTGGTTTTATGTGTTTCTGGGGTCAAACCCAGGGCTCTGTATATGCTGGCTGAGTACTCTACTAACAGCCTCAGTCCCTACCCAGACTTTTCAGATTCTCAAAAGACTCATTCACCTGCTGATAGATATTATAAGTAAAGCTTCTACAGCTACCATTTGAGGCTTATTGTTATTTACTTGTAGTGCTGGATGCTTTATTATTTATTTGTAGTGCTGGGTATCAAACTCAGAGCTTGTGCATGCTAGGCAAGCATTCTACTGATGATTTCCTGCTCCAGCCCTATATTTAAAGTCTGTGTACAAGGCTGTGTAGCTGTGCAGAGTCGAGTCGTAGGTAGACACGTGGTTGCCTCTGTCAGAAGCTGCCTAGTTTCCAAGGGAGTTATACCATTTTACATTCCTAATAGCTGTTTATGAGTGTATGAGAGATAGCCTCTTTTCTTTGCTAATTTTAACTTTTAGGTTTATGTACTTTTATTATATGCATATGGCCATTTTGCCTGTATGTGTATATGTGCACTACATAGTGTCTGCTGCTCTTGGAGGTCAGAACAGGGCATTGGATTGCCTGGAACTGGAGTTACTGATAGTTGTGAATCACCATATGAGTACTGAGACTGAACCTGGATCCTCTGCAAGAGCAGTCATTGAGTCATCTCTCCAGCCCCTTTTGAAACATCTCCCACGTCACCCAACCTGGTTATGATCTCCTGGTTTCTGCCTTTCCCTCCTAAACCCTTGGTTTATAGCATGTGCCACTGTGCCTTGTTTAATTTTTTTTCCATAAAGCACCGGGGATCAAACCTATGGCCTTTAGTAAACATTCTGCCACGAAGCCTTGTAGCCAGGACCCCTACCCTTCTAATTAAAGATACTTTATTATTATTGTGTACACATGTAATAGGAGCATGTGAGTGTGGGTGCGTGGGCTATGCCACAGTGTGTCTTCAGAAGTCAGAGGACAACTTCCTGTGTTTTGTTCTCTTTCCTTTCATGGTGAGTTCTAGTGATTGAACCCAGGTCAGCAGGCTTGTGCTGGAAGAGCTTTTACTCCTAAACCATCTCACTGCCCCAACTACCCTTAGCTTTTGAAAAATATTTAGGAAGTGCTGGGACTGGAACTAGGGACTCATGCCTGCTGGACAGACATTCTCCCACTGAGTTCCACCCCTAGACAGCTGTCCTCTCTCCCTGAAGAGACCCTGCTTCCCACATTTACTCATGGCTGATGAAAAGTACCTCTTTGAACAACTCGTGAAAGTTGTCCTCTGATCTCCACTTGTGTCCATGGCACTCGTGCCCTCTCCTAACAACAAACAAATAAATAATTGTTAAATAAACCATGTACCTCTCTCTTCCCTTGAAGCACGTGTAACAGAAGAAAGGATAGGAATTAGGACCACAGATGGAGACATATGTAGAACGATGGCTGGAAAGATATAATAAAGTTGTCCTGGTATCTCTTTTGTTTCTCTGTCTTTCTGTTCTTTACTTCTGTTGTGGGTATTGAAGAAATGGGCACTGGCCCAGATTATGTCACCTTATTGTCACAATATCAGATTATTTGATAAGTTTTACTTGGTAACTAAATTACATTTCTACCCCTTGTCTGCAGGTCCCAAGACAACATGTACCAGCCATCCAGGCCTGACACTGGCAGGAAGTAGAAGGCTTCGGTGTCTCTTGTGCCCACACCCTCATCATGTCTTCGATTCAGGGCAATGGGGAACACTGGAAGTCCCTGGAGTCGGTGGGCATCAGCCGCAAAGAACTGGCTATGGCTGAAGCCCTGCAGATGGAGTATGATGCTCTTTCCCGGCTCCGACATCACAAGGAGGAGAGCAGGGCCAAGCAGAACACAGAGCCCTCTCTCATCAGCTGGGAAGAGCCAGCCTTGGACTTCTACAACAAGCCAGCAGGCAGGCGGACAGACCTCAAGCTCTTGCGTGGCCTTTCTGGCTCTGATCCTACCCTGAATTACAACTCCATCTCCCCACCAGAAGAGCTCTCCAACTCTACCTCCCAAGATCCCCAGCCTGGCCCAGATCCCTGGCCCAAGGGCTCCCTGCCTGGAGACTATCTCTATATTTTTGATGGCTCAGATGGGAGGCTCTCCTTGTCTCCAGGATCAGGTGACACAGATGGCTCTTGCAAGAAGTTATCCCCACCTCCTCTGCCTCCTCGGGTCTCTATCTGGGATGCCCCTCCCTTGCCTCCCAGAAAGGGGTCCCCCTCACCCTCCAAGATCCCTCAGCCTAATGACATCAACAGTTTTTCTTTGGTGGAACAGCCACCTGACAAACTATTAGGGCCCCAGGACCCAGAAGAGGAAGAGCTACCTGATGGTGGAGGACAGCGACATATGCTGGGATCTGTGGACTATGATGGCATTAATGATGCAATTACAAGGCTCAACTTGAAGTCAACTTATGATTCTGAAATATTGTCTGATGCTACGAAGGGCTGGAAGGAGGGTCGGGGGCCCCTGGACTTCAACAAGGACACCTCTGGAAAACCTGTGGCCCGGAGCAAGACGATGCCCCCTCAGGTGCCCCCCCGAACCTATACTTCCCGATATGCCAACAGAAAAAACGCAACACCTGGCAAGAACCGCCGGATTTCTGCTGCTCCGGTGAGGACCTTCCTGTGTGTTCGTTCAGAGTGTGGACTACTTTCTCTTTGCCATTCCGAATTCAGACCTACCAAACACAGGCCCCTTAAGTCCTCTCCTCTGCTTCTGCCTTTGGGACCTTTGGGCACTTGATGTGGGAGTTGGGAGGGATCCAAGCTAGGTTTTATTATGGGAGGCTGGGCCAGGAGTATCAGGGAAGGTCTGGCTCCTTTTCTAGGCTAAGTTTCAGTGTCTTGGTCAAAAGAGTCCTTATAGGGGAACCGTGGCTTCTAATAGGTACTTCCTTCATGATGTAAGGACAGATTTAGGAGTCACCAGACTTACCTTTGACTCTGGCTGAATGGTGGAGGTGGGACTTGAGCTGCTTCTTACTCCTGAGGCCCTGCCCTGTCAACTGCCCTACAGTGACAGCACGGCCCTGATGACCATCCATAGTGTTAGCTGCTTGTTCAGTGTTCACAGAATACCAGATCTCAACAACAACCCTGTCCAATGCTCCAAAGTCACACAGTAAGACATGCAGAGCTGATATTAGACTCTGGTCTTGTTCCAAAGTCTTTCTCCCTCTTCCTCTCACTTTCCCCTCTTTGCTGCTTTTTATTGTGATAAAGTATATGTGACCTAACATTTACCTTCAGCCATTTAAAAGTATACAGTTCAGTGGCATTAAGTACAGTCATGCTGTGGGGGTGTTTACTTTTAGCCATCTTTCCCCACTGAAAATATTTAGAAAAAGCCCCAGCAGTATGATAATAATACATTATAAGCGCAAAGCCTACATTTCATCCCAGGTGGCTTCCACAGCAGCCTTGATATATTTCTGGTCCATGGAGTGTCAGGAGTATCTCCAAAGAGGGGACCTGGAGGTCACCTTGCTTTTAGCCCTGACTTCTGGGCGGACACCCTGCTCCCTGCTCCCGGTGAGGCAGGAGGCTGCTTTATAGCTTCGGACTGTAGCACCCTCTTTCCTCCTTACCCATTGTCTTAGTGCCCCGGGGCTTTCCCACCTCATGTCCAGCCTTGGGGATCACTTCCAACGCTGCATAGCTGCATGGTCCTTCCTTCCTCTGCATTTGCAGAGTGAGCCCCTCAAAGCCTAGTCAGGGTGAGCTTCAGTCCCAGAGCTCAGGCTTTTTAAAGGCCCGACTCAGAGGTGGGGCTGCTCCTGCTATTTATAGGGACGGGGAGAGTCATGTCCTTAGCTTAGTTCCTCACACAGAGCTGGGCCTGCTCACAGAGTCAGGCAGCCCAGGGTAGGTAGTCACCTTTGTCTTCCTTCCCCCATCTCATGTATCACCAGAGTACCGAAACGGAGCCGGATCTGGTTCGGAGTCTCCTTGAAGAAGCAAGGGCAAAGCAAAAAGCTCTTGCCAGTCCTGGGGTGGGGGAAGCAATGCGGCATTGGTCCTCCCCACCTCAGGTTGGGGCAGGGGCTCAGCCTGCTGGGAGGGAAAACCCCTTGAGCTCTGTGCCTATACCCCCACCCCGCCCTCGCCGGGCTTCCAGGCGGAAGGATTCTTATCCCAGGCCCACTGAGCCATCTCAGGAAATGGCTGGCTCCAAATGCCAGCCTGGTACCCCCGCTGCCAGCCTCTGCCTGGCAGACTCCCCCTGCCAGCATCGGACGATGCCACCAGGGCCTGCCAGCCGGGCAAACGTAAGTGGCTTTTGTTTTCTTACAGTGCCAGGGAATGGTACAGAAAGGGCATGAAATGGCCTTCAGTGGCCATTCTGTTTTTTTCCCCTCTCCGTCTCTGCCTCTCTTGCCTCTTCTTTCTCTCTGACTCTCTCTCATAGGTTAATTGCTGACAGTGGTACTATTGTTTGGACTGGGACACAGGCATACGCTTGGCAAAGCCAGGGCCTCACATGCCAACTGCCCCCACTGTTGCCTTCCCTTTCGTGTGCTGCCACCCCGCTCTACACACACCCAGGGAAGCAAGACTGACCAGAGGGAGGGACACTTGAGGAAGCAGTCAGAATATTCAGAGATGAGCTTGGTTGCTGCCTTCTGCCCTGAGGGACAGGGAGAGCATGAGAACAGCTGAGGGGGTGATGAGAGGTGAGGTCACTCACACACACACACACACACACACACACACACATACACCATGGCCTCAGACACCCCATTCCTCCCCAATGCAGCTGTTAGAACCTGCTGCCTTTACCAGATGCAGCCTGGGACTCCATGGAGCCAAAGCCTCATTCCTGGGTGGCTGCCCTGGGCAGGCCTGTGAAGCCTGTCAGTACCAGCTTTCTCCTTATTTGTTCCTCCCTAGGGCTCATTTGAGGATTTCCTGGGTATTTGTGAGCAGCTCTGGGATGGGAGATGGTTTGGGGCCTTGTCTAAGGACCCCAAGCACCACATGCATGTTCTAGGAGAGGAAATGGGCAGTCCGGGCAGGCTGTCTGTGGCCCTAGCCACTAAGTTTCTGAGGAGCCTATGGGAGCCCGGCTGGGTCCTCTCTAACACAAGTCCTGCTGTGACACATGTGTCTTCTTACTGAGAAGGCACATGTGTCTGAATTGTACTTGCTACTGAAGAGCTCAGTCCTTGAATCTGGTGTCTGGCCCTGGATGCTGAAGCTTTTGTCCAAGGCCAGGCCTCCCTGGGAACCATTTGGACCAACCACCTGTCTGATCTAGCTCAGCTCACCTGTATGTTTCTGGGAGCCTTCCCAGAAGACTTAGGCATCATCACTGTGTTACATACTTGCCTGAATGGCCACACTGGGCTAGTCAGACATGTCCCCCTCACAAAACAGGTATGGCTACTCTTGTCCACTGCCCCAGCTTCTGTGCCCAGCCCAGGCTTCAACTCCTTTTTCAGTTTGGTCTTTGGTGTCCTGGGTTGACAGATAATGTATTTCTAGATTCCCATTTTTTTTTTTTAAATGTTAAGTCAAAAGTCCTTATACGCAGACTGTCTTTACATCTGGGAGGCCCTTCAAAGAAGGGGTTCCATAAGAAAAAACACTGAGTCAGCTGCTCTTCCCTTAAAGGTGGGCTCCCGGCCCCACACCACCGCCAGTGGCCACGAATTGTTTGAGGTCTCAGAGGAGAGAGATGAGGAAGTTGCTGCATTTTGCCACATGCTGGATATGTAAGAGCTGAAGGATGGGATGGGGTGGGGGGCATGTGCGTGCCTGCGTGAGTGGTTGGGAGGATCCTGAGTCTCTGGAGGAGGCTTACCTCTTCCTTTAGGAAGGAGGAAGTTTATAATAAATAAACTTTCCCTGAGTGGGAGCCTTCCTCCAGCAATTTTATAAAAACCTGTCTGCAGGTTTTTTTTATGAAATCTTAGAAGTTTGCCAGATGTAGTGGCTCATGACTTTAATCCCAATACTTGGGAAGCAGAGGCAAGAGGATCTCTATGAGTTTCAGGCCAGCGTGGTCTATATAGCAAGTTCCAGGCCATCCAGGGATACATAGTGAAACTCTATCTCAAAAGAAAATAAAGTTTTAGAATTTTGTACATTTTTAGTAAAATTCACAAACCTTGATCAGCCTAATTATCCCTGACTTCAGGCTCTTCCCCTCAACTGCCCTTTAGGGGTAAACAGACCTCTCAGTGAGGAAAAACTTCTCTTGTACTGAAGAGAAAGGAGATGGATTTCTAACTACTTATTGGTTAATTCTGTTAAACTTAGTATGGAAAACTCCTTCGGGAGCTCTTGCTACCATTCCACCATGGGGATTGTTTTGCAACTGTAGCAGAGATGGCAAGAGTACAGCTTCCTAGGGCTGCCTCCCCACTGCTCCAGCCTGACCCCTAGATCAGGGGGCTGAGCTCAGTAGGGACAGAAAAGCCCTTGGGCCTTAGGGTAGGAGGGCCCTCATCAGGGTTCTTTGAAGGCATAGTAAGAGTCCTCCTTTTCCTCCTATACAGCCTTCGGACAGGCTCTGACATCCAGGACTACTCCCTAACTGGATATGTCTGGAGCGCTGTCACCCCGAGCCCAGAGCATCTTGGGGATGAAGTCAACCTGAAGGTGACTGTGTTGTGTGACAGTCTTCGGGAGCCACTCACTTTTACCTGCAACTGTAAGTTAGTGGGGGTTATGTGAATGCCCCTGGAGGTGGGCGGGGAGGACTGTGTTTTGGACTGTGGAGTCCCTTAGCTTTGATTCTCATCTCTCACTCTGTAGCCTGAATGAGGGTCAGATGGGACCATGCTTCTGGGGGCGGGGGAGCTTTCTAGAATCTAGTAACTTTCCCCAACCCCACTGTTGGTTTGTCTGCTTTATCTGGCTGTTGGTAGAGGTACTAGAGACCACTTAGCTGGTGATAAAGGATCAAAGTTGGGAGGTCCTGTCCCACCTGCCCAATGTCACTGTCCTCCCTCTTCTGCCTTACTCCTTGTAGGCTCCTCTACTGTGGACTTGCTCATTTACCAGACCCTCTGCTACACCCACGATGAACTGAGGGAAGTGGATGTGGGGGACTTTGTGCTGAAGCCCTGTGGGCTGGAGGAATTCCTACAAAAGTGAGTGAATGGAGTAAGGGACATGTGGGACAGAGGTGGCACCTGCCTCTGGCTAGGAGAATGAGGATGCTCTTAGAGACCTGCGCTAGGCTCGGCATTTGCCGCTCTTCCCCAACCCTGCAGTCAGGACTCCTGCTTTCTGGGCACAATCTCGGCCACGTTGAATTTTCCCTGGGAGCTCCATCTTCCAGCTGGGCTGGCTGGATCCTGAGCCAAATCTCCTGTGGAAAGAGTTTGGAGCTGGAATTAAGTAACGATGAGGTCGTATCTGTGTGCAGGGTTCTGGTTGCTGAGAGATGTGCTTTGTTTGTGGAGGCAGGTTTTGGGCAGTGGCAGGATGCTTTTCCTACTCAAGAGGACATGCAACCACTGGGCAGAAGTGCCCTTATAGAACCAAAGGGAGAAATTACAGTGGCTCTTTCTGGCTTTTTCTTGCCAACATGCCTTTGTTTCCACTGGCCTGTGCAGCTGGTTAACCTCCTTCTAGGCTGGCTTCCAGCTCCCTCCAGCAGTGCCCTCTACCGAGGCAGCTTCCCTGGAAAGTGTGGTGTGGGACCAGCTAAGGGAAGCCCCCTCTACTACTCTGGACTGTGGAAAACTGGGGTGGGGTAGACAAGGCTCCCATCCTCAGGGATAGAAAGTGGCAGCAAACATCAGGAGCTCTGCTTTCCTCCATTCAGGCTTCTGTGTGGCTGTTGCACCAAGTGTGACACCCACTTCGAGGAAACAGGCCTTGGGGATAGGGACAGGCAAGGCCTGTATCTCCCTCATTGTCAGTTTCTGTGACTGCAAAACTTCTGTGGAACTGTACATTTTCCTTCCAGCAAATCTAGATAGAAGAATAGTTTTCTATGGTTAGAGCACAAGATTGGTAGTCTGAAGTAAAGATTCATTTCTTGACTGATTTCTTCAGCATTGGGGATAGCAGGTACTCCCTGGCCTCTGCATCCTCGTCTAGAAACTGAGGGAAAAGAAGCAGGCCCATCATGATATAATTCCAGGGTGCCTTCAGCAGTGTTCCATGCTGTGTTCACTGTATCCTTGCCTCCCATACAGGGGCATGGAGGGGTCCTGGATACAGGGTCTCCGGGAAGCACTAGCTTGAGCAGCTTGCCATTGTTAGGAGGGAACAGGGCTATGGTGGGTAAATCGGACCCCGGTGAACACTATACTAAATTCTGGCTTTCTGTTGACCAGTTGTGAAGCCTGCTTCTTAGTGTCTTCTGTGAAGAGTGGTGAAGTTTTAGGTTGGCAATGTAGCTCAGTGGTGGTAGAAGTGAAACCTAGCACAGGTGAAGCCCTGGGTTCCATCTGTGCAACACACACACACACACACACACACACACACACACACACACAGATAGAGGGAGAGATCTGTGCACTGCACACACACACTGAGGGAGAGACCTACACAGACAGACAGACAGACAGACAGACAGACAGACAGGACCTGATGAATAGTCAGTAGATACCAGCAGCAAAGGACCAGCCACCAAAGAGGATTCCTGGGACTCCAAAGAACATAGATGCCACATTTTCCCTGAAGACTCCCAATCCTGGAGCCCCAGGTCCAGTGATAGTGGGAGATGTCAAGTGGAATGTTCCCAACGAGATGAGCCCAGATCATGGTCCTTGGGTCGTGCCTTCCACCCCTACCCCAACTCATGTGCACAGCTGAAGCCTTTCACATACAAGTTGAAGGAAGTCACTGAGGCAATGATGCTTTTCCCTGCCCACCCTGCATAAAAGCATAGTGCTGGTTCCTGGGTGGAAAGGGCTAGAAAGTTGCTAGTTCCCAAGGAAACCCTCAGGATTGTTTCACTTGCCTAACTGGCTGATACTGAAGGGAGTGTTGCTCCAGGATGCAGGCAGCTCTGTGATAAGAACCTTGAGACAGTCCTAAGGGAGGTAGGTTGGGTTTCCTGCTACCTCCCCCTCTGCAGCACTGCACTCACTCTTCCTTCCGCACAGACCCTCCCGCAGGCCTGCCTGGCAGTCTAGCCTCTCCACCGCCATATTTCAGTTTTACTTTAATCTTAGCAGGTCAGAGCTCATATTGCAGGTCTGGTCTCTCCAGATGTGGAAACCCTCAAAGTCTAGGCTGGTTTTGTTTGGCCTGAGGCCCTGTACTTCCAGAAGTTTCTGCACCCCTCTTCCCTTTTGCTCCCGTCCATTCACCTCTATTCTAGCCCAGATTCCCACCTCTGCAGAGGAAGGAAGTCCGTTTCCTGCTTCTGTTCCCCAGATGCTATCGCTTGGCTCAGCCTGCAGCACAAGCCCCACTGAGTGGGGCTTGCTCAGCCCTTTCTTGTGGGTTTCCTTTCAGATTAAGGTGTGATTTGGGGGAGAGGAAGAGGTTGGGTAGTAGAGGGACTCAGCTGTGAGGGTGCGAGCAGTGAGAGCTGCACATTCCTTTTAGAAAGCTTGAAGACTTACACGGGATTCTTATCTGGCAGGGCCATGGAGGGAGAGGAGAAATGGAACCCATTTCAGGATAATAGTTCTGGAATTTTGGTGGGGGTTACCTCATTTGTCCTCAGCACCTTAGTAGATAACACAAAAAGAAGACTGGACATAAGTCTGTGTTACAGCCCATCTCCCCTTTGTTGTCAAAGCCAAGAAAATAGGATTTAAACAGAGGCCCCTAAGAAGTCCTTCTATAACCCAATTCTTTATAACGGGTCTCATCCTTAGAATGAGCCAGTGAGTCATTATTTGTGAGGCTCAAGGGTTAAGTGCTGTGGGTGGCTTTTATTCAGATAAACTCCATGACTTCCCCCCCAGGCTTTACCATGACATTTGGGGGAGTAAAGGATAAGGACTCCAGCATAGGCCCTTTCCCCTTCCTTCTCTCTTCTGTCTTCCCTCCCTTCCTTCTTGGTTGTGTCTCCCCAGGCTAAAGTATATATCTCTCCTCCCACTGAGTCCTTCAGGCACTAATGGTCTTATCCCCCTACCCCACCAGTAAGCATGCCTTGGGCAGCCATGAGTATATCCAATATTGCCGCAAGTTTGACATTAACATCCGACTACAGCTGATGGAGCAGAAAGCCATACGGAGTGACCTGGCCCGGACGGTATGTGTTGGAAATGGCTGACAGCTATACATACCTGGGGAGGCAGAGTGGACAGAGGGACATTGGTGGGAGTGGGGTAGGTATGCTAGGCTGAGACACAGGCATTGTTCCTGTCTGATGAGGACACTGTTCACTCACTCAGGTAAATGATGACCAGAGCCCTTCCACCTTGAACTACCTCATCCATCTCCAAGAGAGGCCAGTCAAGCAGACCATCAGCAGGTGAGAGTGGGTACCACCTAGGTGTAGTCCAAGCAAGAACTATGAGGGAATGGCATAGATACGCTTGCCTGGTTTCCTGTTAGTGTGATAGATTCTCATAAATGTCTGGGACTTTGATCCAAGAAACTTGTCAGGAATGACCCTACCCCAGGGCGCACTTCCTCTCTTCTCTCAGAGAAATGGTTCTCAACCTTCCTAATTCTACAACCCTTTAATACAGTTGTCCATGTGTGGTGACCCCCAATCATCAAATTATTTTTGTTGCCACTTCATAACTGTAATTTTGCTACTGTTATGAATCATAATGTAAATATCTGATATGCACCCCCCCTCCGGGGGTTGAGACCCACTGCTTTCGTGCTTTTTCTGTCATTTGCTAGGTGAGAGGTAGCAAAGTGGAAAAGACCCCTTTCCCATCCTCATGGGGCTTAGAAAGAGTGGGAACTCCTTCACATCAGAGCAGGCAAGAGGGAAGGGAAAGTGTGGGTCTCCCAGGACAGTGAATCTTTTGTGATCTCCCCTGTGATTTTTCTCACCCCATACCCCCAGGCAGGCCTTGAGTCTTCTGTTTGACACTTACCACAATGAGGTGGATGCCTTCCTGCTGGCTGATGTGAGTACACACCCTGGGACTGAAGAGAGGAACCACGGGACATTTCCTTCTCCCCAGGCTTCCAGCAATCAGATGACAGTCTGTAACACCTTCTTTTCATCCCTCTAGTTCTGGGCAAGCAAACACCTCCTGGCTGTGGGGCAGATAACAAGTGTGTTAAAAGGTGTTCTGCCCCTCTGTGAAAGTCAAGAGGTGGACTGATGGCTGTCTCTGGAGTAAAGCATCTCTAAACTAAGGGTGTGGCCCTAGGCTTTTTTTTTTTTCTATGAAAAATGCCCAGGGATACCTTCTTAAACGGCTTGAACCCATGTCATAGATAACACACCACGCCCTCAGGGAAGTGGCAAGTCTCAAGGCTAGATCAAACTTTCCCTCGAGGCTTTTACACAAATATGAAGCTAAAGCAAAGGTCTTTGGAAGTGGTCTTCAAAAATCAAGTCCCTTGGCAGGCATGGCAGCACAGGGCTTTAATCCCAGCACTTGGGAGGCAGAAGCAGGCAGCTCTCTCAGAGTTCCAGACCAGCCTGAGCTATATAGAGAGATCCTGTCTCAAAAAACAAAGCAAAATAACAACCCTGTCTCCTCAGTTCCGTCAATCTTAGATTTTTCCCTCAGGGGCAGGATGTCTAGTTCACGATCCACCACTATTAGAACCCATTTTGTAGCAGCCACTACCATAACCCCGGCAGTGAGTTCTTAGACAACTTTGCAGTGTTCTGTATTAGTTTAGGGGGTAGGTAGAGGTGTGTAGCGGGGGTGGGGGGGGTGGGAGGTGAGAGGGTAGTTTTAGCCTCAGGGAGCTTGTGTGGTTAGGGAAATGGAAGGCTCATGTAACACTATTAGATGGAGGATGGTGACTGTGGGTGTTGGGAGGGGGAAGCTTTGTGAAGGTGTAGGTGTCCTGGTCCCCAATCTGAATTGACCTAAGTAGTCATGGCCAGACAGAAGAGCAGAGTCCAGATGAGAAAATACTGAGAGCCAAAGTGTAGCGAAGAGTGTGTTTGGTGCATCTATGGCCATGAACAATTGGCGGGGTCATTCTGTGGCAAGTCATGAGAAGCCTGAAAGAGGAAGGGGGGCCTCAGTGTGTTTCTCTCACCTCCTTGCCATTCCCTGCCAATTGATTTCTTAACCCTTTAGGCCTCTGGAGTCCTGTGTGTGCTTGTATAGCAGAAATAGCCATCACTGCAGACCAGGGATAAAGGGTTTTAGGGGAGTGACCGACAGGCTAGGGAGCGACGGTTTGCTGAGGCTGAATACCTGAAAATAAAGTGTGGTTCCTGGAATTCCTCCTTCGAGTCACTAGCTCTGCACACCCACGCTCTAAGACTGGGTTGGGGGTGGCACAGAGCTCAAACACTTCCCTCCCGCAGGGGGATTTCCCGCTGAAGGCGGACAGGGTGGTCCAGTCTGTCAAGGCCATCTGCAATGCCCTGGCTGCCGTGGAGACTCCTGAGATCACCAGTGCTCTCAACCAGCTGCCTCCCTGCCCTTCACGCATGCAGCCAAAAATCCAGAAGGTAAAAGTGTTAGAATGAGAAAGGGACAGGGATGTTCACAGGTAACCAGGTTTCTGATTGCCAAGTAACCTGTTGTCCACTTACTAACATGATCTTCTAACAGTGTGTGGTGGCCCACGTCTTTAATCCTAGCATTTGAGTGGCAGAGACAGGTGGCTCTCTTGTGAGTTTAAGGCCAGTCTGGTTTACACAGTGAGTTCCAGGACAGTTTGGGCTGCATAGTGAGACCCTGTTTCAAAACAAACAAACAAGGTTCTTCTCCGACACCATCTTTTATGTGTAAGCAGTTCAGATACAGGAGCTCCTGGGAAATGGATGTCAAGCATGTGCCCTCTCCTTAAGCATAGGGGTGGGCTAGCTTCAATCTCATGGGAATAACCACATGAGCCAAGAACAGCTTTTTTCAGTCACCAAGGCCTTGCCTGACAGTTTTCCTTATCCGT